TTAAGTCAAGAACTCAAGAGTATTTTCATCATAGTTCGGTTAGTGGAAGGATGTCCAGAGCAAGGCAGCCCCAGAGGCGGATTTTTATTGTGGACTCTGAGCAGGGAGCTCCTGGCTATGACTAATTCATTGTGTTAGAATTCTATTGCTACTGTGACAAATTACCATAAATTTCTTGGCTTAAACAAGCAGATCCATTATTTTACAATTTTCAGATGTCTTTTCCTTGGCTTATTACTCTTCCATCTTCAAAGCCAGCAGTGTTAGGGAGACTTCTTCTCATGCTTCCATGTCTGGTTTCCTTCCTTAGTCACACCTTCCTCTTCCATTTTTAAGGATCTTTTGGATTCATCTGACTAGCAAACTTAATCCATCAGCAAATTGAGTTCTCTTTTGTGGTATAACAACATATTCACTCAAGTTCTGAGGATTAGGATCTTTGGGAGGCTATTGTTTTGCTGACCACAGCCATAATTTCTGTTGCTCAATATATCTGAAAACTCTTTTCCTCCAGATAATCTTTTCATTGCTGTTAATGCCCTGGATCTACACTATTCTGTACAACTGCTGTCCTATGGTGAGAAATCTGTTTGGCTCAGTGTGATATTATTGTTCATACAAATCTTTTTTCTTTAGCTTCTCATAAGCTATTGACTTAGTAGTCAGCATCTCCTAGGTCTGTTATAAGTTCTGGCAATTAGTTAGGGACCAACTGGCAAGGCTACACATCAGAATATCATGAAGTATGTGTAAGGAAGTTCTTGGGCCCCTTTTTCGCTGGGGACTCCCTGAGGGGAAACTTCCCAAAATAAGATGGCTGGGCATGAAAGAAATCCTAATTGCCTGTCCAGGACAGGTTCCTTGAAAGGGAAAGAAACACACACATATTGATTTAGGGTTGTTAAAGTTTATATGCCTAAGATATAATATGTATAAACTAGAGTGTATCTCTTTAGGGAACTTCACTTGCTTATAAGGTGCCATTATCTCTCACAAAAAGGTGAGGGGGGTGATTAATCTTACTACTTGATGGTTGATCTTTTCCAGTCCAAAACAACCTTTTATGGTAATTTAATAAATTCCAAGTTCCAACCACTGTGCAATATTCTCTAATGTTCTTGACTTTGCTCCTTGAGGTCTAGATGTGAGGGGAAGTAAGCTACATAGAGTCCCTCTGCTCTAGGTGGTTCACCATCATCCTTCGGCTGGACCTTTTCTTCCCATCAACCTCTGCATTGGAGTTCCCTTGATTCTGCACTGAGACTATCTTTACAAAGGTGTTCACTCTTAACTCTCAGGGATTTTCTCACTTATGTTAAGGGGTTTTCCTCTGAAATTACATCTGATGAGTCAATGGAGATCCAGAGTGTAGAGTGGCTTTTCAGACTCACTTCTCCTAATTCATGCCAGGTTACCTTTCATCTTCTGCTGCTCTGGGCAGTGGTTTTGCTCTTTTAGGGACTCAAACTCCCCCCCTCTGATATTCCAAAATTATAACTAACCTAATGTGTTGGTTAGCTAATTCTTTTAATTTTTTTAAAATTTTAAATTATTTTTAGCTTTCTGAAAGGGAATAATAGAATAAAACACCTAGAAATGGTATAAACTGGGTGCCTAAAATTAGTTGCTAATAATAATCTAGTGAGCCATCTAAAACTTGGAGACATATTTAGGTTTTCAGTTAGTATCTTTGGGAAAGTTTTATAGTTCTTAAAATGATTCTTTATGAATTTTGTTAAGCAATTATATCAATGACTGGTGTCACTTTGTAGTTAGTACATTTGAGGTTATTTTTAAGTGTATTATTTTGAAGATTATCTGGGAACTATGGACTTAATTTAGAGGAAAGTGATTTGAAAGAAGTTATCTGTGAAAAAGGCAAGAACTATAATGTGTTCTGTTTTCAGTGAAACGATCTTTGAATGTAGCAGTGGAAGATCAATCATTAAAGTCAGTTAAGATTCTGAGAGAATGTACAGGTGACAAGCATTCTTTTTTGTGAAGACTGTGTGTAGAATAATAGTAAGACTCACATTGGAGAAAAACTAAAGCACATTAGTGTATCAGTCAGTAGGGAAAATATCTCATCTTGAATTTTGTCTTTATGCCACATTCTTTTTAGTAGAAAGGCCAAAATCATGTAGCATGTGAGAAGCTGAAATGATTTGAATGGTGTGCTGTCTGGTGCTGAAAACTCATATTACTTCTAACATGCTATTTTTCCTCACGAAAGAATTGGGTAAAAATACAAAGCAGGTAATCACACAAAAAAAGATACTTTAGACTGTGCTTTTTAATATTAATATGCTAATATATTAAATATTGTGGAATTGTGGCTTATTTCAGTTATGAAATTGAAGTATATTTATGTTATGAAATGTATCATCATATTAAAAATCTATGTGAAAATTTCTACTTTGAAAATTGTTTACTAAGTATTTATCTGAAAACTTTTTAAGAGACTTCATAAGGCTCATACAACAACAAAGAATATTGTGTTTTTTAAAGCCAGAAAGTGAGAGCTAGTTCTTTTGGTGAGGTGGGTACATAGTTTTAACTCATTTTTCTTATCAAATAAAACATTCCAATTGCAGTTTTATATATGAAAGAATATAGCCAGATATTTATTCTTGAGTTCTAGACTTTCTTGACTTCATCTGTTTAGGACTTATTTGTGAGACAGAGTTTATATTTCTCTCTTTTTGTTAGTCAGTTTTCTATCATTATAGTGAAATAGTTGTGATGAGTAACTTATAAAGAGAAAAGGTTTGTATTTTGACTTACAGATGTGGAGGTTCCAGCCCATGATCAATTGGCCCCATAGCTTGGGCCTATGGTCAGGCAATACATCAAGATGGTAGTGTGTGGTAGAGCAAAACTGCTAAACTAATTACCAAGAAGCAAAAGAAAAAAAGAGGCAGGGCATCATGGTCCCACAATACCCTTTGAGGGCACATTTCCAATGATCTGAGGACCTTCCACTAGGCTCCATTTTCCAAAGCTTTCACCACCCTGGGGACCTAGCTTTTAGCATATTTGGGGGATATTCAAAATCACACCTCAGTATTTGTTAATTATTTTAAAATTATAATGGAAATATAATTTGAGGGAACATTTTGTATATATTCTAGTGGATATGTATATACTTGAGATAAATTGATTTACACTCCATTCATTTTTAAACCACTTAGTAATGTGTTTGGCACCTGTAGTGACTTAATAACTGACATTATCTGTAGTCTGTAATGTGAAGTATGTATTGTACATCTGAAATAATCTTCACCAGCTATGAAGCACACTGTTCTCTCTGTACCACAGGAAGGAGGTTAGACCGTGTAGAGAAATGAACAAGGTATTAATGGTACAAAGCACAGTACATTTCCCATCAATTATTTCTATTGGTTTTACTGCAAAGAACTAAATATCCTGAATCAAATTCAAGTGATGTTGAGGTTTATCTACTTGTAACCCAAATCATTTAATCAATTCAAGAATTCTCATTCCTGAATCTCATCTGAGGCTGAAAAAAGAGCTTCTCCTTGGAGGGATTTCTTCATGGGTAAGCTTGGTATGGAAAAGAGGACCCCCATATCCACCTGGTGAAAGCATAAGCAATCCATTGATATGCACTGGAAACCAAACATAGGATCTTTATGTCATTAAATTGATGTGCCTTGGATAATTCAAATGAATAAGGCCAGTGTTCAAATGACTATGGGGAAAATCTCAGAGTTTAAATTAATCAATCAATTTTAGGAGTAAAATGTGATTGAGGTCTTTTTAAATGCCAATTAACTATAACTCCCTTTAAAAAGTTTTAAGTCCATGGAAAACTAATGTACTATATGATGGATGAATGTTAGTATAGGCATTTGTGTATGCCTGAAGCCAGTGTTCACCAGCAGCATCATGCTCCCCTGGGACCCAGCTGTAGAACCTGTTGGTAGTAAAGCAGATTGCTGGAGCTATGCCAGAAAAAAAGCAGGGTTGAACTGGCTTTGGTGTGTGCCTGGATTCTCTTCTCATAAGACAGTAAAAACCTGCCAGGTCCTGGCTTTCAAAGATGGTTTAGTCATGCATGTGCACCCCATCTGTTCCATGCATAAGGGATTTCCTTCTCAGCTCAACACTCCAGCCACAAACACTGCCACTGCTCCCTGCCTCCTTACCAGCTTTAATTCCTCCTCTCCTGCTGGGAGTGTACAGGCTGTGTAAACCAGGCGCAGCTTATGCCACTCTAGGGAAATCCTAGAGATGAACGAGAAATAAAGTTGAGTTTTTCTCTGTCACTTAGCTTAATTTTGGTATAGTTTGATTCAGTGATTTCAAAAAACATATGAAAACATTTAATTTGATAAAAAATTGAAGATATTATTACAGTTCTAACCAAACATTTACTGTAGATTTTAATAACCTTCAACTTGTCTACATGTAAATTGTCCCTGAAATTCCTTGTGTTACCTGGCTGAATCTCAGCAGGGGCTTCTAATTCCTTCATTCCCCTCTCTCTCTCCATAAGGTTTAGCAGCATGGTTTAGCCTCCTCCATTACAGGGAGGGACCTTCTCTATGATATAACCCTTTTTTCTTTCTTTGTTACCACACACTCCTTCCAGGTTTGACCCATGGGCTGCATCTCTCCCTCTATTTTCTACCATGACCACCCTTTTTTGTAAAAGGTGATTGACAGTTAATACCAGGTTGTGATGCTGGGGTGGGCACGTACAGCTTGAAGCCTCAAAGTTGCAAATGCAAACTATTGTGATACAAGCTGTTTTACAACCTATGACATAAACTACTATTTTAGCAAGCTGGTAGTCTGATAGCAAATTTATATTTACGTTTTCCTCTTTTACCGAAACTTCAAAATCATCCATATGAAGAAAGAGAAGGGTAGATCTTTTTAATCATTTGTTTATAGTTTTAAATACCTTCTAATGGGAATTTATGAGCTCAAGAGGCAATTATTATTCTTATTAACTTCCTTTTCCTTTCACTCAGATTTATGAGAAATACCAGGATTTGTATACTGTGGAACCAAATAATGCACGCCAGCTGGTGGAAATTGCAGCCAGGGATATTGAGAAACTTCTAAGCAACAGATCTAAAGCCCTGGTGGTGAGTTTAATTTGGATCTGCTCCTTCTGTTATTTACTATCACTTACCTATTATTTATTTTTCATGCTTTATTCGGAGGTTTTGTTTGGTGTGCTTTCTTTACTTTAGTAATTGTGCTCATGTGATGCATTCATAAAACAGTGAAAGACCATGATTTCATTAGGAACCTAGAATAATCAGGTAACTTTTATCTAAATAGTGGTTTATTTTTATAATAGTACTATGTGTTTAATAACATCTGAAAAGTATATTCAATTCATATGTGTATGTATATATGCATATGTAAGTCATTATGCATAATAATGAACACATTTAAATTTTATTATAGGACATAAAACCAAGGATATTATTAGCACTCTTAAATTCTAGTACTCTCCCATTGCATCATCCTCCTTCCCGATCAGATGTGGCCAATATACTAGATAATTGACTGATCATTTCTTTGTTTTATAAAAATAGCTGTACCTCACATAACTTCTTTGCTAAACAAGATATATTTTATTTGCTTACTTTTGAGCTTTGTAGACATTGTATCATTTTGTAAGCAGTCTTTGGCAACTTTTCTTTACCAACATTATGTTTGTATGATTTATCTGTATTCTTGCATTTAGCTTTAATTAATTTTATGGTAATCCTATTTTATTTGCTGGGGGTCTTGGAATAGACCCCCAGTGGATGTCTGAAATCAAATATAGTATTGAACCCTTCATAGTCATCTATCATTATGCATGGAGGATGCAGAACCTGTGGATGTGGAGGTCTGACTGTACTGTTTTTTTCCTATATATACCTATTTATGACAATATTTGGAAGAGAAAGAAATTAACAATAAATAATATTAAATAGGAAAATGATAACAATATATTGTAATAAAGGTTATGTGACTATCCTTTCTCTCTGCACAAATATCCTATTATTCTGTGTTTACACTCCTTCTTGTGATGTCGGATGATGTAATATCAAGGGGATAAAATGAAGTAGGCATTGTTGATGTAGCAGTAGGCTACCTCATAAAGGTCAATTGAACAAAAGCTTTGCAGTACTTTGACAGTTGACTTGATACCTGACTTGGCACCATAGTAAGTGACAGGGAGATAATATATACAGTGTGGATATGCTGGGCAAAGGAGTAATTTGTGACGTGAGCAGAATAGGGCAAGATTTTATCATGCTACTCAGACTGGCATGCAATTTAAAATTTATGAATCACTTATTAATGGAATTTTTCCATTTAATATTTTCAGACTATGCTTAAACATGTGTAATTGAAGCTATGGAAAACAAAACCATGTCTAAAAGATATGTCTAACAAAACCATGTCTATCATATTTACAGGTATATATTATTTTATGAGGATGTAGCTCAATTTATGTACTTATATATTGTTTGGGTTGCTTCCAGAGAGATGCTATTATGAATAGTGCTGCTGAATTTTCTTCAACAGTGTCTTGCTACACATGTGCAAGAATACAGGACAGTGGAATTATTAGTTTATAGGGAATTAACAAAGTCAGCTTTAAAAAGTGTGATAATTGTTTTCAAAAATAGTTGTATCAATTTAGATTTCTACTAGAAATACATGAGTTTCCAGTAGTCCATATTCTGGACAAATGTTAAAATGTCAGACTTATTAATTATAGGCAAACATATAAAATGGTACCTCTGTTAATTGCTAATAAGGAAATCATCCTGTGATGTGATCATCTTTCTCTTCATCTTCAGTGAAATATCTTTTCATATCTTTTGCATATTTTTATTATTATAATTGATTTGTAGGTTATGAGTTATTAGTTTTAACTCATTTTAGTTATATACAAAGCAAATATGTTTTCCTAATTTTGGCTATTTCACTATCTTTATCATGTATTTTAATAAGTTCTTATTTTTAATGCAGTCAAAGCCAACTTTTCCTTAATTATTAGTATTTTGGGGATATTATATCTAAAAATATAATTTTAATCCTTTCCTACGCTTATTTAATTATTAATTATAATTAATAATTATTGACTACACAATTAGAAATATTTTATTCTCAATGGTTCTAAGTTTTATCTTTCATATTTAAGTATTTGATCCACTTTCAACTGTTATTTTTTTATAGTTTTTTTTGGATGTAGATGGACACAATACCTTTATTTCTTTATTTCTATGTGGTGCTGAGGATTAAACCCAGTGACTCACAGATGCTAGACAAGTGCTCTACCACTGAGCTGTGACTCCAGCCCCTCTTGCCTATTCTTGAATCTTTACATTTTATCTTTATTATAGATTGAGCCTGAAAATCTGGGAAAATCTCCATTGGGGTTTTGATTGGTATCATACTAAATCAGACCAAATTGGGAAGAATTGTTATCTTTATTACATTTTGTCTTTCTATTTATAAGCAGGATATTCTTTCCATTAAGCAATTTTTTAGGTCATTCAACAAAGTTTTAATTTTTTTTCATAAAAATTTCACATATGTTTTGTTAGCTACAATGCTGGAGTTATTCTTTAGACCTCAGCACTGTGACAGATCTTTCTTCCAAGACTACCCTTTGTTTACTGTTTGTTTTTCACTCACAGTTCAGAGTTTTAGCTTGTTACATTTTATACATATCTTGGCCCTCAAAAATTTCCTTGCTGTTTTAGGCAATTATGATTATTTTATAATGATTGTTAAAGTGTCCAGGGTTTTGTAATGTAGCAGCACTCTCTGTTGGAATATTTGGCATGTTGTATTGCAAAAATTTGAAACATTGTATCTAAAAAATACACAATTGAGTAAGATAAAATTTCCATAACTAGTCAATTAAAAGCATTATTATCTTCAATTTTAGGAATGTGAATATTATTTTAAAACTCTTAGAGATATGTATGTTTGCAATGAAAATTACTTAATAAAAATAAGGTGCTTTATATTTAGCTGAAAATATTTTTATGTATATTACTTTTTATCAGCTTAAATTATTTTTAAGCTGATGATAGCTGAAAATATTTCTATGTATATTACTTTTTATCAGCTTAAATTATTTTTTTCTCTAGACACAGGAAGCAGGTAATCTGGACATCATAATCTCTTGGAAAAGGTTGTAAATAGCAGGTATTTTGTCACAACTGGATTATAAGGGAACCTTTTGTGACTTTTGTCATTTGTAGTTGAAGCTCAAGACATGTGCATTATTTGAAATCTGTGGGGGATCAGTGACTATCCTAAGTTCATTATGGCAGAATACAGAAGGTATAAAGGTTAAGTAATGTAGAATTTGTTAAGTTTTATGTCTGGGAGAAAGACTCATGTTTGTTTTCAAACTGAATTCTTTATTTAACTTCTTTGATTCCACAAAAATAGAAAACACATTATTTAGTAGGGAAACATTTTGAGGCCAATTGTAAAACAGGTGCTACATTATATTGTAAATGAATGCAAGATGGCATTATTAATTTAGTTTTATTTTTGCTGTAGGCTTACATTCAGGAAGACACCTGGATTCAAGGAGCTTTAATTTATCTTGATTTTGTACCTGTGTAATTTTATATATTAAATATAGTGAAAAATCATGAGTATACAAATCCGAGCTAGATGCTAGAATTTTAATATTAATTTGATTTTACTAAGTGTTTATTATTAAGAAACATTATCTAATTACTTTTCACACTAATATTATAGTCTAGATAACTATTATCAGCTTCATTTTTTGATGAGTAAATAGGGCCTTTGAGGGTTCCTGAAACGTGCCCAAGGAAATGTGTCTAATAAGTAATGTATGACAGCACTTCACAAACTTTAATGGGCATGCTGATCACCTGTGGCTCCTGTTAAAATGCAGATTTTTATTCAACAGACTGTACCAGAGATACAGTTCTAATAAGCTCCCAGGTGATGCTGATGTGCCTGCTACAAAGACGATCTTTTGAGCAGTAAGAATTCAGATGTTTCTGACTCCAAGATCTGCATTATTACTTATTATACAAATATGTCTTTTGGCCTGAGCAAGTGTATGATCATAACAAGGAAGAAATTTTGTCCAAGCATTCTGTAAACTACTGTTTATCCATAGGATTAGGAATCAGCTCTTCCAGTTAATAGAATATTCTCAATGCTATGAAATTTTCATGAAATCCTACATCAATTAACCATTTAAAAAATTCTATGAAATAAAATATTTGATGTAGCAATAATTGTCATTTTTGAGTTTGAATATTTTTAAAGTTTTAATATTCTTTGTGTCAAGGTTATTAACATGATACTTTCAAAAAATAAATGTAAAATCTGTGGGAAAAAAAGCAAATTGAATGGTTTATTATGTTACATGTTTTCAAAGAAATTACTTAACAGTTTATAGTTAATTGAGGGTTCATTTTAAAAAAAGGAAGTGAACAACTTCTGTGTTTTTCTTTTCTTTTTTTAGTGTGATTTTTGCTTTTCAATATTTGTAGTAAATGTTATTGTGCAACTGAGCATACAAATTTTTACATAGTTGAACATTAAAATTTTAATTCTTTTATAACCTGTTGATTAAAAACTCAAATATAACTTACTTTATTGCTTTATGTTTTATGTATTTTATCTAAACTATTTCTCCCAAATATTTTCTGTTTTCAATTTCAGCATTTATTTAAATTTTTTATTTATGTTGTTAAGATTTTTTAATCTGCTTCATCAACTAACCTTAGGAAGAGTTGAGAGATCAATACAAAAAATTATAGCTGCTTTTCTCTTACAACCATCTCTTTGATAGTAAAACAGACTTTTGTACTTATAGAGTTGTAATTTGGTATTTTTTTTTGGGGGGGAGAGGTGAACTCTATAAAACTAAAATATGTTAGGATTCTGATAATCTTTCACATTAGGTCCTTATAGAAGTCCTATGAAGTAGACACATTAAATGTTTATTCATATTTTATAAATTAAGAATTCAGAGGTCAAAGTTTCTTGTCTAACACTATATGTATAGCATGAGGTAGTGGTAGAATTCAGTTTTAGGCATTCTGTCTTCAAATGCTTTTAGGTATCTTAT